TCCTATTGGGTGAGTCGCCAAGACGGCGCCGCCCTTGCTCAATTTTGTGGGCATCCATGCGAAGCCCGCCGGCTAAGAGCAGCGGCTAGATCAGGCCGCACAATGACATTGCACGTGCCAGCAAAAACTTGCGGGAGCGAGTGGACCAGCCTCTGGGAGTTACGCCAGATCTCGGTAGGGGCCTCGGCGTCGCGGCCGTCTGCCGTGGCCAGGCGGTCGAAGTAGCAGTGCCATTCTTCATCGGGGCGTCTGGCCTGCTCACTGCCACTGCTCGGCTCCTCTGGCCTGGACTCTGCTCGCCGTGCCCTGGGCGACTCCTGCTGCGGCTGCTCCCGTCCGGGGTCCCGCCCCTTCGAGGTTTTGTCGGAGTCCCGCTCCCGGCTGCTGCTGCTGCTTGGAGCCGTCGCGGCATAGCCTTTGTCGTCACCTTGCTGGCCTGGGGCGCGACGGCGGGGGCAGGCCGAAGAACCACTGGTGGCTCAGACGAAGGTGACCGCACTCCAGTCCTCGAAGCCCCTCACCTCCCAAGCTGCAGCTAGGCACATAGCCTTACACCTGAGGGATGTAGTGTACCTCGCGCTGCTGTAGTGGAGAGGCATCTGGTTCCCATCCGGGTTGTTGCTGGACCAGTGTCCCAGAGCTACCTGCTCCTGGGGGGTCAGCTGAAGCAGCTACCCGACAGTGGGCAGGAGACGCCGCCAACTGTATGTGGTCATGTCCGCCGGGTCCTGGAGAACAGCAGAAAAGGCCTCCTGCACCGTCTGAATGGACCAGGCCCGGCCCTGTGCATTGAAACACACCCCGCAGCTCTTCTTGGCCGTGTCCGAAAGCGCCTCAAAGTCCCGGAGCCATGCCCGCGACCAGGACCAGCCAGAGCTGAAAGTTCCCGGCGCTGCAAAGTCGAACCCCGAAATTCGAAGGTGGGCTTGCTTCCCCCTTTTACAGTGCCCATGAAACACTGTATCAGATACCCGGCGCACCTCTGTCACTTGGAGGTGCCGGTACCTGAGGCACCCAGCGGCCACCAACCATGACCCCAACAGGGCCGTCCAGCGCGGGTCCCCCGCCGCGTGGGCCAGTTCTATGCGATCCTCAAGGAAGGGAAGCATATCTGGGCCAACACATGGAGCTTGAGCTCGTGGCTGGGCCTGTCTGTTCGTAGGTACATAAACGTCCGACAGGTCTAGGTCGAGGCTCGCCTTCTTGACCAGCCAACGAAGGCACGCCAGAGCCCGCGTAGGAGCTGGGGTTCCGTAAGGAGTCCACGTCCACCAGCTCCGGCACCAAGGGCCTGTCACGGGCCCTCTGCCATGCAGCCAGCTCGGCCCACGTCTTCACCACCCCATCGCGATGGTGGAACGGTCCGCCCTGTCCACGAACCTCGACGCCGATCTCTCCAGGGTTCGGGCCCCTCTGGCCTGAAAGCGCCAACCTGGAGAAGAACTCGGCAAAGCTTGGCCTTTCTCTCGCGAAGGGCCGGTTCATCAGGTTGCGGTGGTGCCAGCTTCCCCGCACGACCACGCCCAAATGCCTTGGGCAACGGCCGTTGCACTGGCTCGCTCCTGGGCCCCTCCAAGCCACCGACGCGGCAGGAAGAAGGCAACCTTCCTGCTCTGCCCTCACGGCCGTCCAAGCATCTGCCACGTGGTGGCCCGCCTCCCTGACAGCTTGCTCGTAGTTCGTGAAGTAGAAGGCGAAGTCGGCGTCCCGCTGCACGTGGTGCTTTTGTCGCCACTCTCGCGTGCGGCTAGCCGCTATCACCTGCAGCCCTCGCCCTCCATCACCTGCGCCTGGGCCGCGTAGATGCCAGCCATGGTGTGCCACACCAAAATGCCCGAGACTAACTGAGCGAGCCAACGGGGGCACGAAAGCCGGGGAAGGTTACCGCTGAACTGCAAAATCCTGGCACAGAACAAAACCTGACAGGATCCCCGGCCCCTCAAACTCGCACAGGAGCACCGTCGCCGTGGCGCCATATCCAAGAAAAGCCGCCGTAGGCCTCCCCAGGCAAGGGCAACGTAATCTCCGAAGGAGCAGGCCAAGGCGTGGTTACCGACCACACCCCGGGCCCAACCAAGACCCTTATAAGTAAAGTGCCCGCACCCGCGGTTACCGACCGCAACGCCCGGTGTGCACGAGCCACCTCGGAATAGCGACCGAGTTCGCGCGACGGGATCCTCTCATAGGCTGGTTCTCTCCACTCACGCTGCCCTTGGTGCCAAGCCCGCCAAAGCTTCCAGAGTTGCACCGGGGTAACGCCCCGAGGGTGGCCATGGCGGCGCACATAGTCAATGAGGCGCCCGGCGTGGTCCGGCAAGATGTCTGTGGGCCAGCGTCCACTGGCGTGCCGCAGTACCTGCATTCCTGACAGGGTGCGCGTCTCACGATGGTACCGCTCCCAGGCCTCCTCAGGCGACGTGCCCGGAGGAACCAGCACCGTCTGGCGGCTAAAGGTCCCGACGAAGGGGAACCGGTAACCTCCACGTCCTGTGCGGCAGCATTCGCAGTTAAGGTCCACACATGGCACCAGCCGCACCGGAGGGACACCTGGCGGCAAGGCGTCCATGATATCAATGGGCGGAGGGGGGATGTGCGAAACTTCCAGCACAGAGCCCCACAGCATGGCGGCTTCCCAAGAGGCCCCCTGATCCACAAGGGCCCGAAGCCGGGCACGCCAATCCAGCATAGCGGCCGGATGGAGCACCTGATCATCCGTGTGCACAGCCAACAATGGCATATTCCATGCTCACGGGTCCCTCCCGTCACTGTGCAAAGAGAACTCTCTAAGCCGTTTTGGATCAAGCTTGAACCATAATGGCAGCAACATTATGATTTCGCTTGATGTGCAATGAAGACTGCTCACCCAATGCCTGCCTAACACAAAGCAGTTTTAAAGCGCACGCGGGCCCACGGATCACTGGCCCTGCTCCCCGTAAAGTCTGGGTCGCGCAATGGCCAACATGAAAATTGGCCCTGCCGCCCGTAAACTTGGGTAGCGCAATGGTATGAAGGGGCACTGTTGGTAGCCCGAGATGCAATCCGCCCAGAGCTTGATTCCAGAATCATGCGTACGGTGTCCATCCAAAGGCGAAGAAGCCAGATGGTTGAATGGCCAGGGTACTCATTCCCTGAAAAAGAAGCGCTGAATGTTCAAGTAGCAGCCGCCAATTAACGATGCACCACAGCCGCATGGTCGAATGACCAGTGCCCTCCACCAAATGGTCATTATTGATGGCGGTATACCACAGGGATGGCCGCCGTCTCATGGTCGCACGCCAGAGCCTGTCCCAGGAAAGGGCCCAAGGCTTACGGCAGTAAGCGTACATGCGGCATGTGCCACTCCCAATAACGAGCAGCGGTTTCGCAAAGAAGTCGCCGCCAATAGGCAGCATCCTCCATATGTTCATCATTGAGAGCATACAGGAAGACCCACTCGCGGCGTTCGTGGCGTCCAAGAAGCTGTGGCTTGGTAAAGGAACCTCGGCGAAGCCCGGTGATAACTGGGGACTAACCTGTATCCCAAAACTGGATAACGTAAGCCAGCCAGCAGCCAGCCCACCCTGCTCACGGAAGTGTCGGGCCGCCTCGATCCAGTCGTCGAAACTGAGACCCTCGCCTAGAGTATACGGGTCATAGTCGGCATGAGCCACCGGCACGTCAGCGAAATCCCGTCGTAGGATTTCGGCATAGCGGCATAGCGGCCTTCCAGCCTGTGGTACCCCAGCAAGTAGAAGCGTTCAGGGTACCACATACGGATCAACTTAGGACCAGGTAGCCAAACTGCGAGCGCGGCTTGAATGTCGTAGCCGTCCTGGTGGTTCCACTGCCGGACCCGTGCCAGGGCACCCGCCAGCAGACCCGCAGGCTGTAGACTCAATTGCGCAGGGTACTGAGGGGGGTGCGTGAAATTGCCCGGCTGTATTTGCGGCTGGTGGAGGGCAAGCACTCCCTTGTCCCAAGCACGCCGGAGACGTGCTCCGATTTGCCACTGAAGGGGGCAGAGCTCGCGCGCTGTGAAAGCCAGCGCAATTCGTACACCCACGTGATTGTGTCGGCCTTCATCGGCCGCCTGCTGGTCGCTGTCCCGGAAGACCTCCAAGACTTCCAAGTGCGGGTATAGGATTGCGGATGGTCAGCCAAGCAGCGCCGCGCAAAGAGCAGTACCTGTATCGGCAGGAGGGCACTGCAGTACTGCAGAGGCGACATGTGTCGCCCTTGTCCGCCAAGAGCCATTACGATGAAACTACAATCCCTGGCCAGCCTGCGCAGAGTGCTGCCATTGGGCCACGATTTCATCGGCGATATGCGCCAAATAAAAGCAGCCTGGGAGCGAGGCAACTGCCCACTTCGCGTTGTGGCTAAGCAAGGCAGTCGCCTCTGTGATGGGCGGGAACACATGGCACCGCTGATGGAATTTCCTGTATTACATCACTCTCGCTAACATTACGCCGCGCCCAGGTTGGCGGCAACCCTTTGTCTTCCCTGGCTCCACATCGCTCGGCTGTAGCCTGTCGTGCTGATCCGTCAGTCCTGCATTGCTGAGCCCGACATAAGTCTGAAAGTTGTGTAGCACCCGAGCAGCCGGATTGACTAGTACTAAACTTACTAAACGTTGGCCACCAAGACCTCTTTTATTCTGTGCCCTTGCGTGATATACAAATGCGCAAGGACCACCGAAAGGAGGTGCCTTAAGTGGTCGGGGTGCCAGATGCGCTGTCCCTCTGCAGGCGCGGGTATCTCCAGGAATCGGAGTTCGCGCCGCAGTAACCAACAGATAGACCCCGGGGGAGCTGGATTACCTGGGGGTACCAGGTTAGACTCCTAGGAGCGAATGTTTTGAGAGCCTGCTAGGGTTGCAGCAGTTGTGCTCTCTCCTTCTCTCTCTTCTCTGCTTCTCCCTTTGCGGCATGTGCACAGAACTCACCCCGCGCCCGACCAACTTATACCTCACACGTGCCAGGTCCGCAGCTGCTCAGCGCAAGTCGGTCGCGGTCGAAGCCATGGCAGCACCGTCGTCAGTCACCTTGGTCCCGATGGACGGGACCGATATAGGGGTGACCCTCGCCTCTTTGGGGCACAACTTTGGATTGGACGACAAGGTGGTGCAAGCTCTTGTGGCGACCAAGGTCCAGAACTTAGAAGAGCTCCGTTACTTTTTCGCTGACGAGGCGGCGGTTGATCCCTGGCTCAAAAAGACCTCCTTGGGAGAAGAGCACAACATCCAGGCTGCCCGACTCAGGCGTTGCTGGGCCGCGGTACGGCTCTACTTCAGCCAATCCGAAGCCGATCGATCTAAGGTCGCGTTGGCCGATTTGGACTGCATCCTGGGGGAAGGGGAGCTCAGAGATTTGAAGACGAACTTTTGGCGGAGGTACCGCCAACGCTTTCCCCCGGAAGTGCACCCCTCTGACGCCACCATCTCCCGAGTGAGCAGAGAGATCGCCAAACGGATGTTATGTGTGTTCTCCGTCTGGAAGTGAAGAGCCTACAGCACCAACTCCTGTCCTCAGTGAAGAAGCGAAAGCTAGCACCAAACTTGTACACCGAGGATGACGACCCAGAGGAGGCAGTGGTGAAGGACTCAGACTCCTATTTGGATCGGCTTTTCACCCTTTGCCTGTCCTACGCGTTGGCAGGCACCACAGCCATGCCTGGCGCTCCGGCAGCTCTCGATGAGGCCACGCTGGGAGCCGACTCTACGGCCTTTGTCGCTGTCCCGTTGGATGTGGCGATGACCTACTGGTTTCGTGCGAAACGGACCGCCGCCGCCATCCCGGCCCCTCGGCGCCTGTCCTGGCTCCAAGCTCGCGATCAAGAAGAGAGGACCGAGTGGGTCGCCCGCTTTCGGGACTCGCAGAAAAGCCTCGACCAAGTCATGAAAGAGGTGTTCATTGCGCATGATCCGCATTGGTTGCCAATGCTGGGAGGAGGTACCTCCCAACAATCCTCTGAACCGGTGATCCTGCCCCCTCCGAATCTTTCAGGATCGCTGTTCCAGACGATGGCCAATGTGGCAGGAAAGAAGGTGGCGGCCGTCATGAAGGACGGCAAAGTCCTTTGCCAAGACTATCAGCGCGGGAAATGCAACCGTAAGGATTGCACATCTGGCGCACACTTGTGCGGGGTCATCGTTCGGCATGAACGAGTATGTGGAGGAGCCCACACCCCAGCACAGTGCAAGGCTAAGGTCAAGCCGTGACGGGGCCCAGGGTCCGAGGATGTGGGCTCAGACCTTGGGGAGCCGTCCCCCCACAATGCCGACCGAGCTTCAGGCGCTCCCTCTGCTCAGGCTCCTTTGCTGGCCGACCTTATGTCGGGACCTGAGATGCCGATTGCCAAAGCTTTTCTGTGGTGTGGCTGGCGGGTTTTGCCAGTGGATCTGCTCATCGATCCATCTCACGACCTAGCCGATGCTAGGAGGCAAAAGTCCTTGGAGGACCAGCTGCAGGATGCCGCTTTTCTCTTTGCCGCGCTGGATTGTTCGACTAAGTCACGAGCCCGGGAAATCCCCCGCGTCTTTGAGGACGGTCGTGCAGCCCCTGGCCCCCTGCGATCCGGGCGGTACCCGGAGGGCTTACCCAGTCTTTCGGGAGCCGAGGCCGAGCGTGTTCGTCGGGACAACGCGGCATGCAGCTGGGTCCTGCAGCAGATGCAGAAAGTGCACGCGAGGGGCGGCGGCTGTATCCGTGAGAATCCAGCCAATTCCTTGCACTGGCGTTTGCCAGCCGAGGTCGAGATGCAGGCTTCGGGCGAGTGGTATGACACAACTTACTCCGCATGCGTGTTTGCCGGAGCGAGGTGCAAATCTCAGCGCCGGCACAATGTGGATGAAATCGCTTCTTGGCCACCTTTGAGCTGCCAGCACTTCCATAACCCAGCCGAGTGGGACCCAGTGCTTCGTGACGGGCATCCAGTGTATCCTAGCAAGGAGGAGGCCGAGTATACCGCCCCCCTGTCTTTTTCGATCGCCATCGCTGCCTCTTGGTGGGCGGCACGCAAGGGATTTGCAGTGATGCGCTTTCACAGGCTCCCGCCCGTCGAGAGAACGGGCCGTTGCGAACACTGGCTGGATATCGACCCGCGAGCTTTGCGCTCCTGGGCCATGGCACCGTTGGCGATCTCGCTGGGATTGCGCCCCGTCGATGTGCCGGGAACGCAGGATCTCCCTTCTCGAGACCTGGCCGAGACGAAAGTCTTGGAGAAAGGGGTGCTCCCAGACGGGTGTCTCGGCGGGGCGGGCGGTACCCATCCCCTTTTCGCAAGAGGCTGTGGTCCTGCGCTTTCGGAAGCTTTTCCCGGAACCTTGGTTTCACGGCTTCCGGTTTCCCATGATCGAGGACTTGGTCAACCAAGCACCGTTCGACCTTTTCAGTCGGTGGCTTGCCGAGCGCGATGGCGAGTGGGAGGGACCCCTCGTTCCGGTGGCAGCCGACCGGCAACAGCGTCTTCGCCAAAGGACAGCCGATGGTCAGCAAGTGGGAGCATCCAATCATCGTGCCGCGTTGCCACCGCTCCTCCCCTTTGGCCTCTCGGTGGACGAGCACTTTGAGCGTTCTCTCTGCCTGGGCACGCAACCTCTCCCTACGGAGCGGCCGCCCGTCCTGGACTCCGACTTGTTGTTTGCAGCCAGCGTTCACGCGCAGCAGCGGGGCAACCTGCGTGGGCTTCGACAGCGAGCGATTGGAGCCCTGACGGAGCTTAAGCGACGCTGGGGCTCAGTGAGTGATCGCCTTCGTTCGCTCCAGCCCCCGGCCATACAACGAGCCACTCGGCAACGCGACCTCCGGTTCACGGCCTTGCTCCTCGCTTTGGTCAGCTGGGGAGATGCGACCTACCCATACGGCCTGGCCCTCGGCCTGCCGGCCGTTGGGTTTGCACCACCGTATGGCATCTTCCCGGAGCAACAGGTCCCTTTTGTCTCTTTCGAGCAAGCCCTTGGCGATTGGCAGGAGCACAACGCCACCACCATCAAAAAGCTGAAGCCAGGCAAGCTCGATCAAGTGCTGCTCGAACAGTCCACCGGCGACGCGCAGCAAGGCTTCTGCACGCCGCCTTTGTCTTTTTCGGCTTTGCAGCGCGAGGTCCGCGGGTTGCCCTTCCGTGTGATACCGAGGTGCGTCATTACGCAGGGTTCTGGCAAGCACCGTATTATAGACAATGCGGCGGATGGTGGGCAGTCGGCTGCTTCTTCGGACTCGAACAAGCTGGTCCTTTGTTCTCCTTTGCGGCCAGCGCAGCACCTCCGAGCGACCATTGACCAGATGTCCGAGGAGCAGCTCCAGGAAGCCCGGGAGAGTAACTCCTGGAAAAAACTGGAGGCGAAGACTGGCCGAATGCATACAGGCACTCGCCCATGGACGCCAATGAGGCCCGTGCTTGTGTGGTCTGTTTTTGGCACCATGAGTGGCAGCAGCCGGCCTTCCAGGTGTATGCCGGGTTGTTGTTCGGTCTGCCCTTGGCCGTTACCTCCTTTAACCGCTATTCGCGGCTGGTGGAATCCCTCAGAAGGCGCTTGCTTCTGGTGCTGGTCTCCCTATACTTCGATGATGCCAATCTCGGGGACTGGCGGTCCTCTCGTGGCTCAGGCCAGTGGGCTTTCGGACAGCTCAACACGTTGCTGGGCACCCCCTTCGCCGAGCACAAGAGGCAACCGATGGCTACCACAGGAGACTTTCTTGGCCTTTCCCACGATGTGTCACAGGCCATCTCCGCCGGCGTGATCCGCTTCTGGCCCCGCCCTCGTATCGTCTCCAAGGTGGAGGGGATGCTCCTCGATGCCAAAACGAGTTCCTGCCTACACCCTGGCCAAGCTTCCTAGCTCTATGGTATTCTCAATTTCTTCGAGCAGGGGGTTTATTCGGGAAGCCTGTGGGCCATCAAAGAGCGACAGAATGAGGCCTCCACAGCCCTCACCCAGGACCTGGCAGCCAATTTCCGCTATGTCAGGGCTATCATTCGGGCACGGCCAGAGCGCCTTCTGGCGGTGATTTCTTTGCCTTGCGACCGATTCGTCGCGGCTTCCGATGCAGCCGAGGAGCCAGCCACCGGCGGTACCGGTGGTTTCCTGGTAGTCTGGTTTTCCGGATTGAAGCAGACCAGGGAGGGATTTGTTGCCGACATCCAGCCCTGGTGGTATGAGGTGTGGCAGCCTGCCGAGGTGCACATCGCGCAGCTCGAGATTTCAATGCTGGCCTACGCCCTCCTCTGTCGCCCTCACCAGTTTCGCAATCGACGAGGCTTCTGGTTTTTGGACAACCTAGCCGCGCTCCTTGCCCTCGTGAAAGGTCGGTCTGCTCCAAAGGATCTCGAACGCTTCGCGCACATGGTACATATTCTGTTGCTGGGGCTCAACACTCAGATGTGGTTCGAATACATACCATCAAAGAGCAACTGGGCGGACTCTATCTCCCGACTAGGCTGGGCCGATCCCTGGCACCCCAGCCAATCTTTTTCAACCAGGTCGGTTCACTTCCCACGTGTTGTCTGGGACCTGCCACCTGCCGCACTGCTTACGTTGGCACACTTCCTCTAATGCTTTGGGATCTAATGCCTTGGGTGTGTTGCCCGGAGACGGGCATCGAAAGGACAGTGAGGAACACTGATCCAAGGGTTGCGTTCTACCGGGTGGAACCCGGTAGATTCCCAAAGCAAATCCTCGTGGCGAGGTTGTGCAAAGCAGCTGCGAGTGACCGGTGGCAGGAGCAGAAAAGAACCGAGCCGCATACTCTAAGCATGCATTGCAATGTAAAACTGCTTCGTGTTAGGCAGGCATTGGGTGAGCAGTCTTCATTGCACATCAAGCGAAATCATAATGTTGCTGCCATTATGGTTCAAGCTTGATCCAAAACGGCTTAGAGAGTTCTCTTTGCCCTCCCAACCCACCCTGAAGTACGGTCTCCCGTGGAGTTACCCTACTTCTTGAAGGCCCCGAAGGGGCCGGGGTTTGCGCATGTTATGCGATCGTAACCCTCTTCCTAGGTAGGAAGGGTGTGTTGCCCGGAGACGGGCATCGAAAGGACAGTGAGGAACACTGATCCAAGGGTTGCGTTCTACCGGGTGGAACCCGGTAGATTCCCAAAGCAAATCCTCGTGGCGAGGTTGTGCAAAGCAGCTGCGAGTGACCGGTGGCAGGAGCAGAAAAGAACCGAGCCGCATACTCTAAGCATGCATTGCAATGAATTCATGCTGAACGACTTTGCCGGCTAAGTCAGTATGTCGCAGCTCATTGTCTCACTTTGTACAGGTATTAGTTCACTCTTTTCGTTCATTTTTGCTTTATTGTAGTTCTTACTGGGACCGAGCGCAGCAACTGCTGTCTACGAGGCCCGCCCACGCCAAAAATTTTTTTCCTCCTGTCCTCAGTGGCTTCTCTGCTTTCTGATTCCAGTCTTCTCGCAAACCTTACTATTGCTGTCTCCATTCCATCCTCGAAATCATTTTCTGGCTCAGAGAGCGTGGATAGAATGGAGCGGTGCGTGTTGAAAATTCCGCAGTGACCATAGTGGACTTCCACAAGATTTTGATTCGGCCTGGAACAACCGTTGGATGTGACCGTGAGCGCTTCTTTGCCACCTTGTTTGGTGATCGTTTGAGCGCGGTTGTGCAAGCGCCCAAGTCTACGCGATTCAGCAAGCAATCTTCAGTTTATCGTGACCGGAGCTTTTGAGTCCCGTCAACATCACGTTGTGCGTTATTGCAGCAAGCATGCATCGAGTTTATGCAGACCTCCGAAAAATGCCACCTGGTGCGGCGTGTGAGTCACAAGCATGGGGGTTGGTTAAGATTGTTGTGACCTAAACTCTTTATATCCGCAGGGAAGGATTACTCATGTTTGGAGCCGCATCCCGGTGTCGTGTTGCGGCATTGTGCATTGGGTTTCACCGCCAGATGATTCTTCAAGGGTTGTGTCCATGGGCTCACCTTCGCTCAGCATGCTTTGTGATTGCATATTCAATCGGTCATGCAAGACCTAAGCATGCCAGAGCACAAGTACATCATGCCGAATGACAAGCGTCACGAGGTTTCCGAAGTCAGCCGGTAGTTTCGCAGCCGTATGACGGTAAGAGCATGGAGGAGCGAGTTGTTGATAATGAATAGATGTTTATGCACTTATTCGCATTCGGTGTAACGACCAAAAATGTGCCAGCCAAGTGCATCTTTTACCAATGCTCGCTGCACATGTTGGGATGGTTCAAGCATAATGAGGGTAGATTGATTATACGGTTCTCAGTTCCATAGTTGCGACACCACCTATCGTCGCTTTCCAGCATCTTCAACACAGTATCGGAATCATGCACGCGGTTCTTGGGCCGACAACATCGACAGCAACTGTTCTATAATCCGAAGCCACAATGCTGATCTCAGTTGTAACTGCCATCCCTCGCAGCCAAACGGCATTCTCGGCGAAACTCTACCCAACGCGGAATGGCCTATGCTTCATACTGTACCAAGCCGAGCCGATGCAGCCTCTGCCCCGTGGTTGAATTTCCGAAAGCGCGAGCTGAGCGAAGCAGCAATATCGGCCGTTTTTGAAGTATATTGCGCATTGCACAAGCACACATTGAGTGGCTTCAGTCAGGCTTTCGTTTCTTGTAGCAGAAACCGTTTCAGCATGCCAAAGCGACATCTGTCACGTCTAGGTCTCGACACTGTCTGATAATTCCTGCACGTTTGATTCAGTCGATCCCTGGACAGGCAACGCATCTCCAAGTCGCCTCATGAATGTCTACAGGACGGAGAGCCGCAAGGCTTGAGTGTGGCCGGGCTTCATGTGAAGGTTTGGGATGAAAGCTGCTGCAGAGTTTTGACAGCTGTAGCATCGAATGCTTGTGGGACGAGGCATGTCCATTATCCTTTCTTGGACATGTTTCCGTGCGATCGAGACATCAGTTTCGACATAGAGGATCTTCACACTGATGAGGAATTCAGAGCCAAGGTCGGGGGTCTCAAAAACTGTTCTAAACGATCTGTCCACTGAGATGGTGCTTTCCTAATGCTGGGACCTTGCAACATTCAAGCGCAATTCTCCTTCAAGCAGGTCTGCCTTGTTGAGTGTGGAAAGACTGACGGCCAGAGAGACACCATCGAGCGGCACGGCAGCAGGGGAGCACAAGACAAGTAGGGACTTCCCGAAAACCGAAACCCAAAACCCCAAGGTGTAAAAGACGTTGGGCTAAAGCTTCAGGGATGCATGCTGGGTATGTAAGCTCTGTGCCCCGGAGTCACTTGTGTGTGCATGTCATGACCCATGAGCTCCATGGCAGATAGCATTCCCCCATTCAGGATCCGGCTATTTTGAGTTTTATTTGCGGGTCCTCATTTTCTGCAGTTCCCATGTTTCGTGATTCGGAGCCATAGGCATGCAAGCTTTTCCCGTACACCCGCACTGATTCTGTCCATGCTCAAGCAAGCATGCTTGTTTGCAAAACACTGCTGTTTCCAGTCCTTTCCGTGTTCTTCTCCTGTCTTGCATCAGTTGACCCTGTAGTATTCTTGTCTTACATAGTGTACATTGAGGAGATGTATTTTTGCTCAACGTGCTGCTAACTCATGTGATCTTGGTTTTATCATGTGGTTCTATGCTCGAGATGTGCTTCAACATTGTGCTGCGTTATCGCAGGTGTTTACGGACCCAAACTTGTTCGGTTATCCTACACCCGAAACCCTATTAAACCCCGGAAAGCCAAACTCCAAACCCCAAGCTCCAAAGCCGGCCTACTCGCTGAGTCTAAGAACCCAAGAAGCCCTAGCCCAAAACCCCCAAGGTGATTTTTGAGCTTCGAGCTCCGCACGTCTGCGTGCCGGCGAGACCGAGCTTCTGATCTCAGTGAAATGCCACTTGTCGGGTTTGGGGCGCAGGGTTTAGGCTGAGGGTCTAGGGTGTTCGGCTGTAGGCATTTACCTTATAGTACCTTTATAGAGCCTTTAGAGGAACCCTATTCTAATTACTAAGGCCTCTATAGTAGGATCAGCTTCAGTGGGTTACATTGCAGGCGACGTCGTCAGCCCGAGCCGCCTGGGACCGGATGCGGGACACTTCCAGGCTGCTGAGAGGGTTGAGGGTTCAGGGTTTAGGAAAGGTATGGTTTGGTTCTCCCAAACCCCGAATGCATGAAAAGTTGAACTCTTGGTGTCAGGATGTTGGGGTCTAGTGTGCGGCCTCGAAGTCTGCAAGAGCCTCTCCGACAGGTCGGTGATGAAACGCGGAGATATCTGTAGGTTGTCTGTTCATCATCTTTGCCCACCTTAGCCGTGGAAATCGATGGTTAGAGGTGTCCAAGGCTTTCTTGGGGGTTTTGTGGTACCAACCCCAAACTTGGAGGGTCGGGGGACTTAGTAAGTAGGTAGTAAGTAGACTTCTAAGTACCCTAATAGGGACCCTAAATAAGGGTTACGATACTAATAAATCTCTACAATAACTATTTACTAAGTCCCCCGACCCTCCAAGAAGCGCATGGGTCTTCGGGAGCTCTGACTGCCTGAAGTGCCCTCGGACCGACGGCTCGGAAGCCCTGAGCTCGTCTCAGCCCCAAACAAGGCGGCGAGGGCCTAGGCTCGGGGAGGCCGCTGTGAGCAAGCATCGATGTTAGGATCGCGGAGCCGCTCCGGCCCAAGTCCCGGACGACTCAGATGTGTAGAGTTTGTCAATCCTTCCGTACATGCTGGATTCCGTTCATCTTCGTCTTGATCCTCAAGCTCACGGTCATCGTGGCCGTTCGGTTCTCCGATCCCGAGTCGGATCCGCCTGAGATCCTCGGCGCGGAATCTGCCCGAATGTTCAGCTTCTGAGGGACTCAAGGGGTGAAGGGAGTGAAGGTGTCGTTTAGAGGCAGCGCCCAAAGCCATTTTCCTTGGTTGCTGCCCAGGCTCTCAGATTGCGATTCAGCCATTTTCGGCGGGTTGCTACCGAGGCTCTCAGACTGTCCAGACACTTGCACGTCACCTTCCCATCGCAGCGGCTCTTACGAGCTGCGAGGAGAAGCAGCGCGAGGCTTGAAGAGGGCAGACCAGTGGCCCGGTATGAAGCCCATCGTTTTGACTTTTGGATTTAGGGTTTTAGGCCCGGTATGATGGGATTTTTTCATTGTTGCTTCTTGGGGTTTTACTCTTTGTTGGGGGGGTGGGGGCGTCTGTGGAGAATCCTGTGAGTTTGGGTCTGGAATCAGGTATTTTGTCAGCAGCAGCTGCCATGAAGCTCCTGGCGCGGTGGCCAGCGTTGTGCCCTGGATCGATGCCGAGGAGAAGCTCCGGAGGGCAGCTTGAAAGAGGGTCAAGCGGACAAGCTTCAGTTTGAGAGCAGCTGCCCCAAACCCTAAACCCTAAACCCTAAAAGGCTCTAAAACCCAAACCTCAAGGTTTTGGAGGTGGCTCTTTCGGATGTTTTCTTGGCATCTCGGCCCTGCAGCAAGGACCCCATCAACGGCTCCTTCGTGGCCGTGTTTGCCGACCCGGTTCTGATCAACAAGATGCGCCGGGCAACCTCCGACAGTCTAAGGCTGTGCGCTGTCCAGCCGCTTGGCCACCTTGACCCCAGAGACTCCAAAACCCCTTAAATTAAACAATATACCTTAAATTTTAATAGGAACCCCTTTTAAGATTTTAGGTAGATTCCTTAGTCAAGGGGTTTTGGAGTCTCTTGGACCAGGGCCTTTCTTTCTTGTGTCGTTTTCTTATTGAAACTTTCGGGAAAGGTGTTCCCGCCTTGGGGCTCTCGTTGCGTTGTATGGCAAATTCAGACGGATCAAGCGAGGAATGGAGACGCCACGTGCATTTGCAAGCTAGTTGGCGAGAGTCCGCTGGGTGTCCCTCGGCTGCGGTGAGTATGTAGCAGCTTGGGGACCGCTGATCATGGATACGATGATAGCCGGGAGGATCCAGGAGGTTCGGCACTCACTGTCGGGCATCCGTCAGAAGTTCCCTCCAGAACCCACACGTTCACACAGGTGCTCGAGCGCGCAGCAGCCCTGCTCCCGCACTCCAGCAAGGTGCAGGCTTTGCAGCAGCTCGGACGCAGCCAAACCCCAACAACCCAAACCCTAAACTGCCCTAAACCTAAACCCTCAACCCTAAACTACCCTAAACCTAGGCCTTAACCTGCCCCAAACCTAAACCCTAAGCCCTAGTGTGCAAACCCGGTCCGTGCCGGGATCACTTGGCCGGAGAGCCCTATACCCCTTAATTAAGCAATATGGCTTAAATTATATAGGGCTTCCTATTATGATTTAAGCTGTATTCCTTAACTAAGTTTTGGGCTCTCTGGGTGGCAGGTTGGCCATGGAGAGCTGCCCGGAGAACGTGCCGGATCTCCTGGCCGGTGCCTGGGAGAGCAAGGATTAGGGGGGGCTTTGCGATGTTGGGGTTAAGGCCCGCCGTTTATGGCTTTGGGTTTAGGCTCTAGGGGCTTTGGGTTTAGCGTTTTGGGGTTTAGGGTTGACGCACACCTGGCAGCGTTGCAAAAGAATCTACTCTGAGGAACCCTACTGGTGAGCTGCCTCCTGGTCATTGTGGTTGCGACCTGGATGCTGTGGGCGGCTTGGGCCAGCTCCCGGCTGAAGCCCCTGACACCGAAGGCTCACTGCCAGGGCTTCATGGAACTGAAGACGCCGATGCTGGGTTCTTGTTAGGAGACTTAATTTAAGTTACCTAACAGGGATCTACGGTAAATAGTATGATTTTCGTACAATGGTAACTAAAGTTAAGGAATTCAATAAAACCCAGGATGCAGAATTTCCTGAGCGGCCTCTCGTGGGCCGCGGGCTTCATGCTCTCCCTGGCGGCCATGCAGACAGGGGCACTTTCAGTAGTCCAGAAGTCCTGTGACTATGAGGCACAGACATTCCGGGTGAAGAGGTCACCCCTTGTCTGCCCCCTTGATTTCGCAATAGTATCTCCCTGTCAGGCAGTTGTGTGGCTCGTAGCGGCCTCTCCGACTGCCCTCGCGCTTGCGGCCACAGTGCGGCTCATGCAACTCCTGGCCAAGAAGCAGCTGTGCCACGCGAGCTTGGGTTTGGGCTGCGTGGTGGTGGACCAGCCGCAGGACTCCAGCGACTTCTTCCTCGTTGCCGCCTTGTTAGCTTACTTTCTCCTCATCGTCTGCATGGCGAGCATCGACATCACTACGCTGCTTTTGGTTCTGACGGCGCTCAGCGGCTCTACGTGGACTGTCCTGAAGGCCGTGAGCTCGGCGCGTGACACAGAGAAAAGCCTGAAGTTCGTGGAGGTCAGTTGCTGGGTTCTTGTTAAGGAAACTAGTTTAAGTTACCATAATACAGCAACCATATGCCATATTATTTACTATAGGTCTCTTTTAGGGTTACCAAAATACAGAAACCATATTATTTCTTATAGGTCTCTATTATGGGAATGGTAACTTCAACTATATCTCTCAGCAAGAAGCCCAGGTTGTGATCACCTCGCCGAGACTTCCGAGAAGCCCAAGATGGCTGCGGTTCCCTGGGTCGCCCTGCGAGAAGCTCACGCTGGCAAGCTGGAGGACCCCGTTGCTATACTTAGGATGTCCTTAAGGGGGGGTGGTCCAAGGGGGGTAGGTAACCTAGTAATCCCCATTATTCCCCAATACTCCCTAAGCTTCCCTAAGGTTCCCCAAAGCTCCCTAGTACCCTCCCCCCTTGAACCACCCCCCCTTAAGGATCCTATAATATACCCCTAAAACCCTAAGCCCAGAAAGCCTTAAACCCTAACCCCTATGGGTTTATAAACTCTATAATTCCCCCCTAACCCCTAAACCCTAGAAGCCCTATAAATCCTTAAGCCCTATAAACCCTATAACCCCTAAACCTTAGTAGTGCAGACTTGCGAGTGCTTGGTTTTGCGACTGTAGGACCTCCAGGCCCTCTTCAGCTCGAGCTCCGGTCCTTCCCCTTCCTCTCGAGAGCAGCCAGCCCGGTTTCCGGGTTCCTGTTATAAGGAACTTAATTTAAGCTACCATAGTCGGGATCTTTAAGGGTTCCTTTAAGTCTTTAAGGTTTAAGTTACCATAACACAGGAAATCATCTTATTTACTATAGGTCCCTGTATGTCCCTGTTATAGTAACTTAAATTCAATCTCTAAACAAGAGCCCCAGGTTTAGCCTGGGCTTCGGCCTGGCTCGGCAAGGGGCTGTGGTCCGATTGCTGACTGGTTCCTGCGCGGGCTTCATGATCTTGCCCTCCTTCGTCGCCTTGCTAGCCCTGTCCTTGTGCTTGTCGGCAGCGCACATGACTCGCTATGCCTGTTCCGTGGGGGAACTCACGGACCTGAACCTAGTCAGCTCTATGCACTCTCTGACCTACGCCCCGTGGCAGCTGGGGCCTGTTTAAGCTGTGAGCCTGCGAAGTGAAGTGTCTTGACTCCAGCCCTGCTGTGTGAGTTTTGTCCTGGTGGCAGGCAGTTGCGCTACGAGGTCACCACGGACGTTGCCTTCCAGCAGCTGGCGATGGTGGCGTGGGTTCCTTAGGGGTACTCAGAAATAGTTTTTAATTTTTGGTTATTATAATCCCGAAGAAACAGCTAAAATTACAATTTTTGCTAGGGTTCTAAGTTCAGTATAGGTTCGGCCTTCCGCAACCCGCCTCATGTCTTTCGGCCAGCCGGAGCCGGCCGAGCCGCGCACAATCCTCCCCATCCAGGAGAACCAGAGCTCGGCTGTGGAGGAGATTCAGTTGGTGGGCCGGCAGATTCCGCGTGTCGCAAGTGTGTGGGTCCAGGGCCTCCGTCCGTCTCGGCCAGAGACGCAGTACCAAGTCCGCTTTTCGCCTGCTGATACCATTCCGACCGTCCTGTGGCTCCGTGCCGGGAGCTTTACCAGGGCCGTCGCTTGGTCGACGCTATCCGGTTCGGTCATCAGCATACCCGCAGGCACAGCGTTCTCTTTGCCTGGGTTGACTTGCTGCGTTTAGCTAAAGGGTCATGGGACTAGTACCCATAGGGTCATAATTCAGGTAAGTAGACTTTATATAATTAAGTACTTATAACCCCAATTCAGCTACTTATAACCTTACTCAGTTGTTTTCCCTGGAGGTGAAGACACGCTGCAGGTCGAGGTCGGCTTGGCGGACTTCACCGTGAGCCTTCCGCGGGCACCCTCAGCGCAGAAGGCAAATCCCAAGTCGAATGCTGAGCTTTGGACATCCTACGAACCCCACCTTGGTGCAACCGAAGCACTTTGCTCAAAGCTCTGTGCAGACACTGGGTTCTTGTTAAGAGATTTAATTGAAGCTACCATGATAGGGATCTGTGGGGATCTATAGTATATAATATAGTTTCCTTATTATAGTAACTTCAGTTAAATCCTTTAGCACGAACCCAGGACAGCTTGCATTGCTTCCGCTCTTATCCCGGAGCTGCCGGCTGCTACCCGGTTCTGGGGGACCGCGAGAGTTGGGAGGGCAGCGAACTCGGGGAGTCTCAGACGGAGCAGAAACCCCCAGGCTACGAAAAGCGCTTGCGTGGCCAGCTGGATGGCTGCAGGATGCGGGGAGGGCGTCTTTGTTTTGTGAGAGTTTGACGAGTTGCAAGCATGCAGAGCTTAAGCTGCTCCAGGATGCTTTAGTTTGAAGCCTCTAACAGACGACTGGCTCGTTGCAGGCTCGACAGTGGAAAGCCGGACGAGGGCACGGCCTCAACCACGCGCTGTGGACAGGTGAAGACGGAGGGAGGGCGGCTCAACTTCGGCGAGATTCAGCCGGACTGGGGCAACGGCGCAGCCACCCTCAGTTTCAACCTGGATGTCCGGATCGGTGGGCTGCACTTCGACTCCCACGTCACCCCGATCTCGTTGCAGCAAGGGCCTCCCCGAGTCACTGACGTGCTGGCTGTCCTTCTCGGCGTGAAGGAGAACGGAACGAGCGTCCTTCGCAGCCAGGGCACAGTGGACGACCAAGGCGGGATCGTCATCAACGTCTCCAGGTACGATCCCAGTTCCTTTCAGAGCCTCCGCTTGCTAGTGATGCCCGTGGTCTCAGACCCCGCTTCCTGGCTCCAATGTGGAAGGTTGGAAATGGTTGGAAGGTTGTGTCCAGTGTCCATCTCAGCATGTGCAGGACCGTGGTATGTTTAGGTCGGTGTTGACGTTTCACTTGAGCACGTGGTTGCTGCTGAGAAGGGTCGGCGCCCGTAGGTCCAGTGGCTTTCATTCGAGGGTGCAGCCTCCAAGAGCACTCCTAAGAACTTCGAGTGCACAGCAACGCGCAGGGTGTTCTTGGCAAAGAAGGGGGTCTAGGCAGAGGCTTGAGGAAGTCCCGAGAGCCCAGGCGTTTCGTGCAAACTGGTCCGAGTGGAGCCCCGCTGATGTGACGGACCGGAAGCTCTTCAAGGAGAACAGCCGATGCGCGGAAAGCGTCTTGGTGCGGTCGCGCTACACGATCTGCGCTGCGGAAGGCGGGGTCACCCACGGGCGACTGCAAGACAAGCCCCTCGCTGTCGCGATGGAACCCTTCACGGGCCAGCTAATAAAGGCCCCACCGAGCTTCACAGTTGTGCCCCGCAAAGTGGGCTCCGCGTGGGAGTGGTCCTCCGAGAATTACGGCATGGCCTTGGAGTTCCAGGGCGTTGACAGCCCTGCAGCTTGGGCTGCGCAAAGCCACGGCTGTGCAGTTCTGAACCACAGCTCTGAGGCCGAGCTAAGCATCCTTGGCTCGGCGGATGCCGTGTGCCAGCTGCTGTCCGAATGCGGAGAGCAGCTTTGCGACGATGTCATTGGTTTCAGTCTGGGCAGAGTATCATGGTCAAGTTCTGCGCTGGTGCCTTCGGAGGGCACGGTGCAGCTGCTTACGTGCCTGAACGCATCAGCCCCCGAGTGCAGCCGCGCAGTCCATGCCGATTGGCGCTACGCTGAAGGTCGTGTTCGCCTACTTTACTACACCTTTCAGGTTCCGATGCGCACGTTGCTGGAGCAGGCAGACAGGCTCCGCCACACCGGAGGCCTGGCCTTGCTGCAGGACATCCGGAGGGCCTTGCGCGGAGGAGAGTTCGACAAAGACGCTGCCCAGGAGGTGTGGCGGGTGAAGCCTTCGGCTGAACTGCTGGTCACCCTCGCAGGCTTGGACAACGAGCTGCCAAAGCTGCTGCTTGAAGAGCTGATGCGGAGCCCTTTTGCAGAAGCGCCACCCGCCACACCCGAGCTCCAGGCGCCGGTGCAGGTTCTTTGCACATCAGCACTTTCCAAACATGGGGTCTCTTCTGTGCACCCTGAAACCATGTCGTTCTAGTGCTTTTTGTAGCAGACTGACTTCACATCGAATTTCCGATCTAAGCTTTCCGCAGACACTCCAGCCCCTGCTTCTCCTGCACTTGTCCTTTGAGAATCGTGGCTAGAAGGCAACTCCATTTTCATAAAGCATCTTTGTTCTCGCTCTATGAGCATGCACATCAGGCAGCCTTTGCGAACCTTACGCAGATGACAGTGAGCCTCCACGACGCAGCTCAACTCCACCAGGTTGCAGCCCTGGCAGAGATGGCAACAGGGCTGGGTCAACTGCACATCTCCTGCAGACTGTGCAAAGTTTTGCGCAAGGCACCATTCCCGACAGATTTTCAGGGCCTCTCCCGGCATACCAAGCTTCGTGCACTGACGCTGCGCAGCTTCCAACTCGCAAGGCTTCCTGTGAAGCTGTTCCACGGCTTCGGACAGCTGGAGAAACTGGATTTGAGCCACAACCAGCTCCAAAGCCTGCCGGCAGAGATTTTTCATGGCCTCGAGCAGTTGAAGGAAGTCTCTCTGAACGGCAACAAGCTCCAAAGCCTGCCGGCAGAGGTTTTTCATGGCCTCAAGCAGTTGAAGGAAGTCTCACTGAACGGCAACAAGCTCCAAAGCCTGCCGACAGAGGTTTTTCATGGCCTCGAGCAGCTGAAGGAACTCTCTCTGTTCGGCAACAAGCTCCAAAGCCTGCCGGCAAAGGTTTTTCATGGCCTCGAGCAGCTGGAGAAACTGGATTTGAGCAACAATCAGCTCCAAAGCCTGCCGGCAGAGGTTCTTCATGGCCTCAAGCAGCTGCAAACTTTTTCTTTGAAAGGCAACCAGATCCAAAGCCTGCCGGCAAAGGTTTTTCATGGCCTCGAGCAGCTGGAAACGCTTGCTTTGTCCAGAAATCACCTCCAAAGCCTGCCGGCAGAGGCTTTTCATGGCCTCGAGCGGCTGAGATTGCTGCTTCTGAGCCAAAACGAGTTCCAAAGCCTGCAGGCAGAGGTGTTTCATGGCCTTCCGCAGCTAAAGGAGCTGAATCTGGTGGGCTGTGAGCAGCTCAGCAGGCTTCCGGCCATTTGTGAAGAGCCAAGCCTCCGATGCACCTTCTAGCACTGAGCGTGCGCATCGCGGAAAAGGGCGGCATGTCGCACTGCCGAAAACTGCCAAGGCCATGCCTCCTGCTTGCGTTTAGATCCCGACATCTTACGACAAAAGGATGTCATTCTGGATCGTGCTTGTACTTTCTCTTCAGAGTAGAAGGTACAGTACAAGTAGCAGTATCAGCAGGTGCCGTTGCATGGTTTCCTTCTCGGAGTCTGTTCACGAACAACTCCGTCACGTGGGCATACAGAGGGCCAAGATGTAAATTTGGCTTGTGTGTCAGGGACCCACCTCGGCCACAGAACCTGCCTTAACCCCAAACCCTAAACCCTATAACCCTATAACCCTAAACCCTAAACCCTCTAACCCTCGAACCCCATAACCCTAAACTCTTGCCTCCGTGTTTGGATGCTCTGAGTTCCAGGATGTCGAAGTCGTTTTTCTCCTCTCCGGCCTCCAGGGCGCCGCCGAACGTCCGAGGCCCGGGAGGCGTTTAGATTTGCAAATGGTCCCACTGAACATCCCAACATCGGAATGGCTGTCGTTGGGTTCGGGGTTTGGGTCGCGAGTTTTGTTTTTCGTTTCTTTGCCTCGGGAGGTAATGATGCAAAGTCCTGAACCTCCTGAATGCGGCCCAAAGCATTCGTGCTTGCGCAATAGAGCGCCCTGACACGGTCTAGGCGCCTTTTAATCTAGGCGCTCTATGTCTCGCATAGTTTCCTTGGTCATTTGAAGTCGAAAGACGGGCTGAAACGCGAAGGGCGTTGCTTTGTAGGTCTCAGGGCAGTTCCATGGTCAACAAGTCCCAAGTGCTTTGTTTGTCGGCGCCACTGGATGCAGTAGGTCAGGAGGCTGAAGGTGTTGTGCAAGTTCGAGCTGTTAGGTTTAAGGATGGAGGACTTGTAGCTCCAGCAACTGCTCGCGTCATCTTTGTGGTAGCATTGGGATATGTAGCAGAACTGGATCGAAGCTTGGACCCCCCATATCCATATTCTGGGCCATGTCCTAGGCCGATGTGGGTGTCCGCGCTGGGCACCAAAGGCAACTGCGACCGAGTTATGCCACAGAGGGGGCGTTTTTCGTCTGGGGTTCGCATTACGGATTTTGGATGATGTGCGCCGATGCCACCACCCGTTTCAGTCGGGATGCTCTTACCAGACTGCCCTGCAGCGCCTCCTTCACGTCGCAGCGGAGCGTTCTGCGCCCCCGGCACTTTTTCGAACTGAAGCTATGCATCCGTTGATTGTCGTGTGCGCCGCCATAACTTGCTTTGCACTGCATCTTGTCTGCCTGCCGCTGCGAAGTTTGCTGGGACCTGCGACGATTTCACCACGTGCCAGAACCTTTCATTCACCCTCTAATTCATAGCTCCATAGCTCCCTTTGGTAAATCATGCGCAGCGTTTTGATTGTCTTGGTGGTTTCATTTCCTGTCGCAGTGGGTCACGGCAGATCCGCCCAAGCGCAGCTGGCGCGATTCCATCTTCTGTGCTGCGCTAAGCAGTTGTGAGCTTGAAATCACCAGACTTACAAAGACTCCCTCCAGGGACTTCCTCGCATCTTCCGGCATATCGCATGCCCGTCAGCCTTCTCACATTTTTAGATGCTCTGCGAAAAACTGAGCCACAACGGCAGGGTCAACGTCTGGATAGGGAAGGAATGGATGGTCCTCCTCTTCCTCCTCCTGCTCCAACGGCTCTTCCTCGAAGGGAAGCAGACTTGCAGCCTGGCTCCGGCCGGGCTGCTCTCTCGCCTGGACAGCTTTTGTCCCACGAGCTGAGGGTTCATGTCGCCGGGAGACCCCGAGACTAGCGAAGAGCTGAGGTATTCTTCGCGGGCGTCCCGTCCAATGTCGACGAGGCCCAAGCCTCATGCATTTGGGGGGGCTCAGGGCGAGGCATGATCGCATCGTTCTTGATGCCGAGATGTCGTCCGAACGACACCAACAAACCCTCAGCTAGCAAGACTTCCATGCTTTGGCTATGTTTGACACTTCACGATCTTCGCGACGAGTGGCACAAGCTGCTGCAAATCTTGCCACACAGTACTGTAGCTTCCATAGTTGTATCGACACAGAAACGTGTGTTTATTACTCCGGAAACATGTCTGACTGGGCTGTTGCCAGGAACTGCAAAAACCCCTTATTAAGCAACGTACTTCAAATCTTGGTATCATTTGGCGTATATTCGTATATTCCTTAACCAAGGGGTTTTGGAGTCTCTGGGGCAGGAGCTCACCACTCATGAAGCGAGAGGCCGGACCGGGGCTGATGCTGCTGAGAATTTCGGTGCTATTTCTGTTGGCACCACCGTTCGGAACGCCTCCCACTTGTAGAGCCTGTAGAATCCAGATTCAATCAGCGAAGATTCTAGTGCGAACTTTTCCGGGCATGCTTCTATTGCATCTGTCTTGCATGCCTATTTGTGCACCAAAGATATGGCTGGCAGCTCGAGCGACTCAGCCCGAGCCCTCCATGTTCGTGGTTTGGGCATTTTCAAGTCGGCCGGCTTTGAAAAGAGGGACTCTAGGGACCATGAAGTGTCCAACCCCAAGCCAACTCCCGCCGCAGGAACAATCCCTACGCCCTTTTCCCCAAAGCCTTAACCCGAGATCCTAAGCCCTAAACCCGCAAAGCAATAAGCTCTCAGACCTGACTTTTGTAGATGGCCTGAGCCAGGGCGGAGGGATGCAGGAAACTTTTCGGAGCCATACGTTCTGTACTACAGCAGGCTAGCCACATAGCCAAATCGGATCCCTGAACCTTGAACCAGGATGGCAGCTCAAGGTGGGGGGCGCCGGCCTCAGCATGGAGGTGTGCGACAGGGTATTCTCTCAGCCCTGGTAGCGATGGCGTCAGGCAATGAAAGTCTCCTTGCTTTTCTCGGTCTGGGATGAATTTGGCCTTTATTCTCTGACACGTCTTGAGAGACATGAGATACCCAGATACTCGTAAGGTGATGCTGCCAGCCACCAGCCGCCAGCCGTTGTTTCGGGGTCGTCCTTAAATCCCTAACCGGAAGCCCCAATACCTCTAGCCCTAGAAGCTGATGTTAGTGGAGATGGCATGGTCCCGAGAACAGCCGTTCAAGTTATCGGAGGCTCGCATTCTCACCTGCGTTGGGAAACATTAGGGTGCGGGAGAACCGTTGTCTTTCCAGCTTGTAAGGCTTTGTAAGGAGGTGTTGTCTTCGTGTGAATGTCCGAGTTGTTGTGCATGATAGGTATCCTCTGTTTAATTTACACCCTTTCACCGACCGCGCTCCATCCTAGCTACTGATGGGATAAGAACTTCTACCCTTTGAGCCGCTTTCCGAAGACTCTGCAGCTTTCAGGAGCCGTCAATGGCCGCAGCCGCGATCGATCCAAGCTCTGCGGTGGCGAAATGTTGGGGTCTCAGCATTTTGGGCTTCAGGATGAAAGATTTGCGGGTTTTGGAAGTGACTAGAGTGCTCATTGGACACATCTACAGGTTCTGCTTGCCAAGTGTTACGCCGACCGCATGTCAGCTCATGTTGCCCGCTATCAATACAAGTTTGTGTGGGCCTTCGGGTCAGATTCAGATTTGTCTAACCTGGTAGTAGAGTAGGTAACCCTTAACCTTTTTTGGGTAATTAGTATCGTCCCTATATCAGCCCTATATATGCAAAAAGGTTATCTTTTAGTTCCCCATGACACCCGACAAGTAGGCTAAAGGGTGTTGAGCTGCGGCTCTCTAGTTCGAAATTGGTAGCCCTGCTTCTGGGGTTGAAAGAGTCCCCTAAAGCCTTAAACCCTAAATCCCTAAAGCCCTAAAGCCCCTGAGCAAGTCTCGGTTGCTTCATGTGCAGTTTGACGAATCCGGATTCTTCTCGGGAATGCCCTTAAGATCGATTCATGCTGCAGCCTCTGGCGAGTTTGGAATGCCAGTACACGCAATCACACGCATTCACATGTTCAGGCAGGTAGTTGCAGAACACTTTCGTTTCACCATATTGAGCCTGTCGAGGACGTAACAAAGCCCTCTTCAGTCCCGAAAAACTCTTGTAGAGCACGGTTTTGTGCCCTTGTTCAACCCTTGGTGAACCCATACCCGCCCCGAAGCCCAGAGCTTTCTTCTCACGAACGTGGCATGGGTAGTGTGCAAGGGTTTGTGGTTTCGGGGTTTGGACCCTCAGAGTTAAGTTCATGTAACCTTCAAGCGGTTCCAGCAGTTGTGGCTGTCATCTCCTGATGAGGATTCACGGGGCAAAATACCCAAAGGTCAGCTGCTCAGCTGAAGTCACATCGGCAGAGCCTTTACAGGTAGAATGAAAGCTTTCACGGTCGTCGAGGGATTGCCGAGTATCCACTATGAGTTGCGGTTCAGCAGGAGCCAACGATAAGAAGGTCGCCCGCCTTTAAAAGACATCGCAGAAGTCTGCTCAGGCGCCAGTACATCGTTGGATCTTGGTAGCATGACACGCAACTTCGAGTGTCGAACTCCCGCCAAATGAACCTGTGATGATAACGTTTGCAATTGTCTACGTGAGGTCGTCCTCTGAATGGGGAACGTCCTCGCTGATCCGAAGACCCTCGGCGGCTTAAACCTTTCTTAGGGTTTAGGGTGGCTTATGTGCGGGGAGAATAGCCAAATTCGTGTGGTGATGCTCAGGGCTTCAGGGTCTTTACGGCAGCGTCTGACGCATCGCCTCAAGCGAATGATCGGGCCTTGAGGTTGGGGCCGATTGCCTGTGGGTGTTCTCTGGCGGGTAATTATGTTATCCAGTCTGTTCGAGGGAGTTATCCCTCCCAGTCCCACCAAAATCCACCAAAATTCAGCTTGATCCCTCCCAAGCAGATCCACGAGCCCGAGCACTCCTAGCGCGGCGTCGAAGTATGTGAGGCTTTCCTCCTGTGTCCATTAAGTAACACCACATAACCTCACACTCGCACCTCCTAACTAGAAGGTAGAGAAGCTTGCAAATCTGCAGAAAAGCCAATCCAAGCCACAGGCCCCCGAAAACCGAGATCAATGTCTGCAAAATTAGAGAA